GCCCCCACGGCTGAAAGGGCGAGCATGTTTGGGGTGACGGGGATTCGAACCCGCGACCCTCAGAGTGTGAGTCGAGCGCCTTAACCACCTGGCCATGCCGGGCCAAGAGACAATGTGAATAAGTAGAATATGGAAGTCAACACGATGTTGACATTAGAGCAATGGACCTTTGAACACCACAAGAATGGTCAAATCTTGTTTTGTGTTCCAACGGATCTATCGATGTATGTATTGGAATGCTGCAAAATCTAGATATGTGGATTATTTTTGGATGTTACACAGGTTACAGGAGAAAAGGTAGCATTTGTAGCAAAAATATGGATCCCAGAGTTCTACAGTTGGGTTCAAAACGTCTCTAAGGTACTCCTATATCAATACCATGTGCAAAATGCATCTCAAAAGTGTTATAGATACTACACAAATGGGAAACAATACAAAAAAAGGACATTTTTGCGGCGGAGGCTGTAGGGTTCATCCTTTTTCGGGGCTCCTATTTATCACATAGATGTAATTTCTTCCTGGTTCTGGTGTCCCCGAATCAGAAATAAGAAGTTATATAGGCTAATTCTAAAAATATTTCAAAAAGGTTAAAAGTAGGCTTTGACTTATAACCAAAATACAAATTTGATTTTTCATTTTACGTGGTTACATTAGAACTGGGGAGGCGCCAGCATCTTCCCAGTGAGGGGCTGAGATGGACTAGTAAAAAAGAAAAATCAACAAAAAACAGCTGTATACGCCTCACCCCTTCAAGTAGCACAGCGGTATGTCTGCGGATTTACAACGCTATAAACCGGGTTTCGATAGCACAGCACGGATAGCCCATTGTGTAGGTTTGTGCTTAACTAGAAGCAAACAAATAAATTACTCTATATAATATGAAAGAGATTCAGAAAAAATGTGTTGAACTTCTTGTTGTTGAGTGCAGAGGACGATGCACATTTGGGATAGGTAGCTTCAGCTTCTGCATGCCTCCTCTTACCCCCGCCTTGGAAACGGTTAAAGAAAAGCTCGTTGGCCAGGAGAGTTGGTAACGCCGATGCTACTTTTCGGGATCAGTATCTATATTTTTATTTATTAAGAAAATCAAGCTAGCACTTTGTGCTGAGTTGGAATTAAAAGTACTGTGCTCAAAGATCCTTTCATAAAGTGGTATAAAGTTTAGCGTGGGGGCTATTTATCCACGACTCGTGGTTCATTGTTGCAAATTCGCGTTCTCACTTTATGGCATGATTTAAGAGTTAGCCTGCGGACTATATATCTGAGGGTCCAGGGTTCACGTCCCGTTACTGTAAATCTACGCTCCACACTTTTTGCCATAGGTGCATTATAACACTTTAAGTGTTTAAAGTTCTAGATGAGATATAACACTTTAAGTGTTTAAATTCTACATGACATATAACACTTTAAGTGTTTAAAGTTCTACATGACATATAACACTTTAAGTGTTTAAAGTTCTAAATGAGTTAAGTTTTAAGTGTTATTCAAGTTATTGATTAAATAGTAACAATCTAGCTTATTCTGAAACGTTTTTCTTCTTCTGCTGCGGATTCGTCAAATTATTATACATTTATAAATACGTATCCATTGACACCGTTATAGATGATAATTATATTTGCAATATAAATGCCAGTAGAAATCAAAACATCTATCACTGGAAGATGGAATTAACGAAAAATGAAATCGGAAAAAAGTAGTTGTATCGTTGACTATACATAGGTAATAATAAGCATTAATTACAGTATCAAGACACGTGACGACAAAAGTGGTTCTATGTGTTGGTCAGGTGAACAGCCTGTAAGTTAATGAATGCAGAATGGATGGTAATCTATTTGTGAATTAGTAAAAGTTTTGTGGTACTATACGGATTTTACTTACCAGTTTATGATAAAATGTTTCCATAGATAACTGCAAAGTGATTATAAGTTCTAAAATCTAACAACAAACTCTTTTCATGAACAGTTTCTTCATCAGAAGTTCTTTGTCCTTGTAGCCCTATTGAAGAAAAAAACACGCTTACAAAAAAAAAAGAAAAGAAATAAAACACCCAAGATTTTGGTGCAGTGTTTGTATTTAATCCTGCCTGTGTTATGTAAATATAATATAGTATTTTAAATCCCCACCCCAAACAAAACAATAAAATAATCTGTGCGTCTGGTGTGTGGATCATAACATTCAAGTTATTTTGTTCATTCTTAGTCTAAACTAGGGTACCCACATGGGTAACTGTGCAAGAAGCCTTATGGAGAGAAGATGACATCTAGCGTCGGTAGCTGGAACTTATGTTCCGAGTATTTTCTGTGACATTTCTAGCTGTCCTTGAAGAATTGCATCTAGCTTTGTATTGTTGCGTCAGCGAGGTCACGTGACCAGTGTCACGCCACGTTTCTAGAACTATCCTGTGTCTTCGGGAGTGCTCTAGCATTTGCTAGATTGGGGGTGGCTGGTATATATAAGATGGTAACGGCGTGATGTGAGATTGTGTGTAGGTAGTGAGTAATTGATCTGCAGTCAGAGAGTATTGTTGAAGTTCGTTTTAGCGTTTGTTTTAGTGCGAATGTTGAAATCAAGTGTATCGTAAAGTTATATTCAGAAAGAACAAACCAGTTTTATTAAGTAAGGACTTGTGTCGCTAAAGTTTCGTCGGAACGAAGTTACAGAAAGTTAATTAACAAACGGAGACGTAACAGTATATTATAATAACGAGGAAGAATCTTTCTATTACATAACACATATAAAATCCTTATTATTATGTAGATAGAATAAAAATAAAGAAACAAAATGATAAAAACATAAGAAGTGTAAATTCTTCCCTGAAAAGTGTAAGGATTTGAATTTTTGTTTTCATTTCAGAAAGCTTTCAAAACCCATTTGACGTCATCATGAGGTCATCATTCACCTGGCACTGACATGGCAACATTATTAAACACTAACCAGTCTTGTAATAACTCTAGGGGAGATCCCCAACAGATGTGCAAAACTAACGGCGCTGCTCTGGGAGCACAAGGTGGGGAGAATAACGAGCACGATGAGTCAACTGGATTTGATGAACCTGTAATATTGACAGGTAGCATGACGTCACTGAAAACAAACGACGAAAACTGTGATGACAAAAGACCAAATAAAGGAAAGTCGGTCGTTTTCCACAGCGAAACTAGTCAGCCAGCAATAAGGAAGATTTACAGTGGTAAGTACCAAAAAAAATGTAAAGGAGTATAACAAAAATAATGATAAGAAAATGTGAAGGAGTATAACAAAAATAATGATAAGAAAATGTGAAGGAGCAAACAAAAATAGTGATAAGAAAATGTGAAGGAGTATAACAAAAATAATGATAAGAAAATGTGAAGGAGCATAACAAAAATAATGATAAGAAAATGTGAAGGAGTATAACAAAAATAATGATAAGAAAATAGTGAAGGAGCATAACAAAAATAATGATAAGAAAATGGGAAGGAGTATAACAAAAATAATGATAAGAAAATGTGAAGAATATTTATATAGTTTCTGTAATTTGACACAAAATAGAGGGCACACAATATTCACACAAATAAGCACAAAATGACAGCGACATGCACGTGTTTTGGCCGACACTGTACTGCATGTCTGACATTTCTTGAACAATATCGATGATATTTGTGTTACAGCCTAAGGAAATATCTGTTCAACCTCTACATTTTGTGTTTTACAAATCCAGCCTATTCGTAACGTATAAAAGTAAATAAATGAGCTTCTTGTTGAATTGAACATATAACACGTGGTTTCTAAAACACAGTACTGTGACAACTTATTATTCGTAGTTTTATTTTACTACCACTTACATGTATTTTAAACTAACTCGTTTGATACTTGATCCAAGCTTGTCTTTCTGTAATATTGTTTCTAGTTTTCCTCATATTTTCAGATTCTGTCTTTTTTCACCCTCGTTGATTGTTCTACATTGTTCATGAAAGTGCAGAAGTCAGGAATCTGTACTAGTCAGTTTAAGAAGGCTCAAAAAAAGGCAATAATTTTTATTAGTCAGTTTAGGAAATCAAGATAATGGCAGGAATCTGTACCAGTCAGTTTAGGAAGACTGAGAAGGGTAGGAATCTCTATCAGTTTATTCAGGAAGAATTAGAAAAAAAGAAATCTGCTGTAGTCAGTTCAAAAAAGTTCAGAGGGCAAGAATTTGTATTGGTCAGTTCAAGAAAGTTCAGAGGGCAAGAATTTGTATTGGTCAGTTCAAGAAAGTTCAGAGGGCAAGAATTTGTATTGGTCAGTTACAGAAAGTTCAGAGGGCAAGAATTTGTATTGGTCAGTTAAAGAAAGTTCAGAGGGCTAGAATTTGTATTGGTCAGTTAAAGAAAGTTCAGAGAGCTAGAATTTGTAGTGGTCAGTTACAGAAAGTTCAGAGGGCTAGAATTTGTATTGGGCAGTTAAAGAAAGTTCAGAGGGCTAGAATTTGTATTGGTCAGTTAAAGAAAGTTCAGAGGCCTAGAATTTGTATTGGTCAGTTAAAGAAAGCTCAGAAGGCAAGAATTTGTATTGGTCAGCTAAAGAAAGCTCAGAAGGCAAGAATTTATATTAGTCAGCTAAAGAAAGTTCAGAATGCAGAAATATGTATAAGTCAGTTCAGAAACGCCCAAAAAGGTCGAAATCTGAATTAATCAGTTAAAGAAAGCTCAAAAAGCAGGAATTTGTATCAGTTTGTTTAGGAAAAATCAGAAAAATAGAAAGCCGTAACAGTCAGTTCAAGAAATCTCAGAAAGGCAGGAGTCTGTATCAGTATTAGTCAGTTCAGAAACGCTTAGAAACGTAGAGTCTATTAGTCAGTTCAAGAAAGTTCAGTGGGCAAGAATTTGTATTGGTTAGTTCAAGAAACCTCAGAACGCATAAATCTGTATTAGTTAGTTCAGAGACGCCCAAAAAGGTCGAAATATGAATTAGACAGAAGTCTGTATCAGTCTGTTTAGGATTGCTGAGAAGAACAGGGATCTGTGTTAGTCAATTCAGGAAGGTTCAGAAGGGTGTTAATATATATTATAGGCATTTTTAACTTGTTCAATATGACCCATAAGCAAAAATACATTTTGAAGTCTTTTTGTCTTATTGAAGACAATAAAAGTTTGAAGTTAAAGTTATTTTTCTTGATGAAAAGGGGTGTCTGTAAATATTTTCCTATAATTGAAACCCTTTGCACAGCAGATAAGCTATCATTACAGGTATTTCTAATCTTTTTAATGTAACAAACTGTGTCGGGTTGCAGAGCGAATGGTCCAAAGTTGTGGATGTGATGCTATTGAACACGCTCCGGTCTTTCAGCTGTGGAGCGTTATAAACGTAATTATCAATGTTGTTCTTCAGTTCAAAGAGAGAGATAAACTCTTGTGGAAGTGGATGCTTCTGACTGGTTGTTTACTTCTGGTTCAAAATTAATAACGGCTATTCCCGAACCCTAGGGTCTCTGACATGGTCGTTTTGTCCCCACGTGTGTAAAAGGTCTAGTTCAGGTTCAATATTCTAGTTCCTGTTGCTCCAAAGAAGTATTACCATTTTTAATAGAAACAAAATGTATTGAGATTATAGATGAATAATATAACATAACCTAGTTAGTTGCTTGTTTGTTTGAAGTAAAGCACAAATGGGCTATCTGTGCTCTGCCCACCACGGATATCGAAACCCGGTTTCTAGCGTTGTAAGTTCGCAGCCATACCGCTGTGCCACTGGGGGGGGGGGGCAGCTCATTAGCTATATCATTTATAAATTAAGTATAAATAATATTACGGCAGCGAAACATCGGTCTGAAGCTTTTTTGTTGTCGTTTGGATTAACTGTGATTCCCATTTGTGATAGTGTGATAAAACCCTTTTCTGTTATATATCTTCCTCGGCTATAATTCGAACCCGTGAGCCCCCGCGCTCCAAGCAAATGCTCTTCCAACTGAGCTAAAAGGTTAACCCTCTAGCAGTTCCTAGTAAGACACTTTTTACAAACTCAGACTATCCAAACATTTTCCCAGTCCTTTGTGCAGTAAGTAATGTATGTGTACTGTTCTATTTTAGTCTCTATACTGTTCGCAGAGCTTTTGTTTTGTTTTGCTACTCTAGTTTCTTGAGCTTCTCTAAATAACCTCTAAACAGGTAAACATGTTCTTCATGTTGCAAGGATCTTTTTTTTTGTTAGTTTACCATGCGTTTGTAGAGAACGACATACTCTGTAAGAGCCGCTTAGCGACAATAGGACATTAGTTGCTAAAACAGGCTGACAGAGAATCTACTGGAAAGCTTTGCAAGTGCAGCATTTGAGACTTGCCGAGTTCAGCATTTCTGTGTAAAAGTTCTATTTTATACTTCGTATTTTTGTACTTTGATTTCATATTCAAACACGAGAATCTGAAACTTTTATAATCAATTTGAGTAAAATATTTTTTTTTTATGAACGAAAGGTCACCTTGGCCCCTGATGACCAAAGAAAAGGATAAGTTGGTTAGTTAAACTTGAAAAGAAACAAGAGTAGTTCAGTTTTCGAAGAGTAGACAGAAAAAAAAAGAGTCTGAAAAAGTTAATTCACTTTAATTTGATTAAAACTCCCCGCTATAGACATAGCATATATATAGCCCAATGTGACTGTGCTCTAAAGTAAACAAACAAATATATTTCCTGATATGTTCATCACTATTCTTGTTACCGGTTATGTTATAAAAACATTTGACAAAATACCACGACCTTCTTTCTCAATAGTATTGAATAACTTCATGAGTTTAGGGAAATTAATATCTGTTGTTCTGTTAATATATCGTCATTTATTAATTAAGTCAATGTTTTTAATGTGAATACTGATATATCCAAATATATCTTACCACTCTCGACCATTGCTTGGGATTTGACTTTATTTATATATTACTTCTGCCTGAGGCTGCCTTAACTAGACCACGTGTATGGCTTTGGAGTCTCATAAGCTGTTTATACTTGACATTTATTATAAGTTTTTTCTATCGTAGTATTTAGATTAATTTAACTATACGATATTTATTTTACTGTTTATTAAATCAACTTTTATTTTCTATTTTATTACATTATATAGACATAAATACGAGGTTTATAAACGTGCATCCACACGAGGTATATATAATGCTAAAATCCGGGATTAGATTCCCCGCGATAGACAGCGCGCACATAGCCCATTGTGTAACACTGTACTAAATCAACGTCACATATACACAAACATGAGACTTTCGCTCTATTTTCTGTATGCTCGAGTTGCCATACAGTATATCGAATTAACTTTATATTATTTATTTTGTTACAGTTATATAAGTATAACTTTGTATTATTTAGTTTGTTATGTATATATAAACATGAGGTTTCCTGCTTTCAACAGTAACACATGTCTGAAGCCATTTATCTTAAATTAAAGTTGCAGTGTC